TGGAGGTTCCCACCCAACGCTCATGAAAACAGCTTGGCCTCCCAATGCTCCACGCCATGCACCCTCACGGTTAGTACCCACCCGGTTCAGGTTCGCAGTGCCCATCTCGGGGGCACGACACCGAGTGAAGTGGTGGAGTTGGCAGTTGGGTGAAACTGGAAGTTCCGAAAGCCAAGATTGACCTTGAATTAACACATATTTATAGAATACCAGGACCTTCAAAGTGACACCTCTTCAGGGACTAAGTGACCTCATTCTGGGATCTCAAAAGGTCACTTTGAAGGTCCTGGTATGGGTCTATCCTATTATCTGGGCCCAGTGGATGATGATGCTTAGTAAAGGCCTTGTTCAAACATGATGCTAATTGTTTACTGACTGTTACAGGTAATAGGACACACCCTATGTATAAACATACCATTGCCAAAGTTTGGTACAACGGTGGATTCAAGTGCTGAACTGCTCACCACTGGAATTGAGCCCCCGTGCCTGAAGTGTCCTTCGCCAACCTGCACCAGGTTCCCGGTCGCCGTTTTGCTACATCCAAAGCCAAGCAGTGTGAACATCGAACGACCTCAAACAAGGCTGTCTGGATCGAAGAAAACACGTGCAGGAGTGCAAGTACGTGCTTATGCAAAGACCTGTAAGACCTGTCACCAAGAACTCCACGGAATCTAGTACAGCAGCCACACTCCACAGAAGAACCATGCTGTCCTCAATAGAAACCCCAGCCGAAGATGATCATGATTACCATCAATTGCACCCTGCAAAACACTGGTGACCAGTGGCACACGTCCTCCTCTTCCAGACGCGTCCTTTGGAGTCCAACGGCCACGCGAGCTCCGCACGCCTCACGGCCACCGAGTCCCTGCGCAAGACCGGCCGCGCATCGGGCCTCGGGTACCGAACATGCACGGATCAGGGAGGTCTAGAGGAAGGCCGAACATCGGGGGCCCACACGGGTTTTCCCTAGCAAAAAACGTGGTTTTTGTATGTGAAAACTCCTCTATGTTTCATGGTTTTGAGGGCCCCTGGTATATATATATATATATGGTCCGCCTAGTCAGCTGACCTGTAGTTTTGCAGCGCTCCCGGCCCATATCCGAAGGTGGTTAAGATCCTGCTGGCACCCACCCAAACCATCTTCGAAACGGAGGTAGTTGGAGCCCTAGGGGATACACCCAACATCCCATCTTTGAGTGGTACAGTATTGGAAACAACAGTGTGCTTGATTGTTTTTGATGCGTCCTTCAGACCCCATGCTGCACAGACCTTCGCAAAGGAGATGGCAGTGGATCCCCCAGCAATTGTGTGGCTCGCACCTGCAAGCTGAAGATGTAGCCTTTGACGATGGCGGACATTGGCGGACCAACAACAAGTCTGGTGATTACTGGTACCATGGCAAGATGGAAACTACCATCTCTTTTTCCGAACATAAGTTCAATGAAGAGAGCTGTAGGGTCCATCTGATATCTCAATTTCTGAACAGTGAGGCCGTCCCATGGCTTCAGTAAATGTAGCAACAGTTTGAGCAGAGTTCCTCATGAGTCCGGTGGTGATGTCCAACGTACTTCCTGCGGACTGTTCAATTGCCTTGAGCTTCATGGCTTCTTCTATATTAGTGATGGAAGCGTGCATGTGCGACTGATAAATCCGCATTTCTTTGGCAAGCTGGTCCATGAAGGCATTGTCATCCTGTTGTTCCGCGGCAATCGTGACAGCCAGCATCTTCACGAGTTTTGGAATTACCTTCACTGTGTCTGACTTGACCATCTCTTCTAAGTAGACGCCATCATTCAGCGCAGCAGTCGTCGTGGACGCGACGAGTTTGGCGAGCCAAGCTTCTTCGCAATCTGGTCCGCTCAGCTCCTTTTCTTTGCAGATTCTGCAGTGCCTTAGGATGCCTTAGGCTCGATGTACTTGGAGGGAGTCGAATAGATTCCAAGCTTGTGCAAGACATGCAAGCATTCTGACCCGTATCTTAATTTGCCGAATCTTGCGTTGCCAACAGGTTCTTCTGCACAGCATCTAATTTATACAATACCATACAATACCTGTGTTTCCGGCAACTCTCAAATCTTTGCAGTTCCTTGGTAAAACCGCGCCAACGCTGTGCTTGCCACGAAAACTGCACTTCTAGGTCCACCAAATGTTGTACTTGCCATGAAATCTACACTTCAAGGTCCACAAATTGCTGTGCCTGCCACGACATATACCTTTTAATTTTGAGGGTCCATACAGTGCGGTGCTTGCCACGAATCTGCACTTCAATGTCGACCAAGTAAAACATCCCACCACGAAATCTACCTGGGAATTGTTGCGGAACCTTGTATCATGTTCAAGCCAGCAGTGGGCACGGCAGTAGGCGCAGCAGTGGCAGTCCATTCCGCTTGCACTCTGACTCGCTGACATTGGAAGTGGACATGGTCCCTTGGAGGACGACTTTCCTTTACGAACAGGGCGTTCTCCACGAACCCATGTGGATGTGTTCGTCGGAGTGTCACCACAATTGACCTTGACGGATCATACGACTTGACCTCCCAAAATGAAGAAGAATCCCTGTCTCCTGTCGTCATTCATCTCTTTTGTGGCGGCTCCTCCTTCGTTCCAAGCCACGGGTTCAAGGCGGCACCCGCCGTGGACCAGCGCACGGCACCAGGCCACACGGGCCTGGCGTTGCGTTGGCAGCCGTAGACGTCCCAAGCGTTGTGGCTCGCGGTTCGGTGGTATTCGACCCCCGCCCGGCACCCACCCCTGTCCCATCTTCGAAACGGAGGTAGGCCAGGAGCCCTAGGGATTTTAGAGGAACAATTTTAGACATGATTTTATTATATGATATAATATGTCTAAACACAAGGCACTGACCATTCGAGCCCAATTCGTGCTCGATTTCATATGCGTTCCAAATTTAGACTGACATTTTCGGAAAGCACTTCAGTTTCAAGCGGATAGGAATCTCGCCTTGGTGCAGTTTGGATTGAGAAATGAGAAGTGGACAGAAAGTGGAACGTGCAGGCCAAACCAGAATCTAGGTACAACGCGGTTTCACAAACATGGTAGTATATGCTCCATACAATGTGCGGCAATGTGTAGACCTGCAGCCCAACAGGTCTGCCATGAATGGTTTATGATTAATTTTGTAATTTTGTGTAGCACCGCGCCTCTCCCACTAGCTTCCTACCCTATACAGTCTCAATGTGAATCTCAATGTGACTCAATCATTTCAACCTACACCCACACACAAACCCTCAACGCCACCAAGCGCTGGCTGGGAGGCCAGCACACAGCCCACAGCTCCAAAAGCTTCAGAAATCTGAGGCTGTGGTATCGATTGAACTCGTTTTTGTTCAACAATTTCCGAAAGTTCGGCATAATCAGGCTTGGTATGGGAGCCCCTTGCAAGCTTCGAGATTGCGCATCCATTTTCATCACGGTCACCCAACATGGAAATTCAGCCAGTTCAGATTCAGTCAAACTCTATGAGTTCAGTCCCTGCAGAAGATTCTCCACCAGGACCTTCAATTTGTGACCTTCACTTGAGATCCATGAACGAGGTCACCCATCGTTCCCCAAAAAAATAAGAAGGTCACCAACGAGTCGACTCCACATCCGAGGTCCAGAAATGCAGGTGGCGATGAGCCAACTCCACCTGCTCGTGAAATGAGCTATTTGGTTGAACAAATATCTACCAGCACCCTCCATTCGATCCGGTGATTCCTACAACAACTGCCCAGAAAAACCCACCTCTTAAGGGTCGAACCAGCCGAACCTCGGTGGGTCCGTTCGGTCGGTGCCTCATCGGCCGCGTCGTTGGGACCACGAGGAGAAAAACCGCACGCAGTGTCAGAAGGGATCGCAACCAATATGGGACTTAGTTGATAACATGTATACTATATGAACATAATATGAGTTACTGGAATTTTGGTCAGTATGATATGTATATGTCACTTCTCAACCTGATTCTTCGAAACCTCTTTTTATGCATGATTGCCCTGCTTGCATGGTTTGGTGTCGCACGGGTGTGGCACTCCATGTGTGATTCCAGCCACCGGGTGGCAGCCACCGGGACGCACCCAACTTCGAATCACCTCTCAATCTCATATAGCCTAGTGGGATCAAATAGGTGTATAGCTCCAATAGGGAGACCTCCCAGGCGTTCTGACCCCGCGGAAGGTTCGGGAATTAGACGGAGACCCCTTTTGCCAAATACATGACTCATGACCCAAACATGACCACTCTCCCGGTTGTTCTTGTTCGTAAATCAAAACACTTTTGATTCACTTCATGCCAACGTGCCGTTTTTTGATGCCTTGACGCTCCAAAAGGCCACGGGCGAATCACACTTCCCACAGGGGGACATGCATGCAGAAAACAGAGCGTGAGCGTGTATTGAAAGAAGGCCTCAATAAACGTTGGACCCCTAGGAAAAAGCACCAAATAGAATGAAATACATTTGGTACGCGGGTCCCTGTTTCAAAACACACCTGTCTGCGGTGAACCAAGGGCAAACACCAAGGTTTTCACTTGTTTGGGTGGCAGGAAACGCCTTCATCCGTCTTCCGCATGACAACCCAAACTCAAAGAGAGCTCATTGGGGCACGCCCATGAACGTGATCAACATGGATCAATAATCCCCTTTCGATTGCACATGGGTGTGCTCTCTCTCTCTCTCTCTGTGTCTAGAAGGATACTCGATTCGCCCCCTGAGGTAAACAGTACGCGATTTATAGATCACACCAACAACTATGGGTTAAATAGAGTTTCCCTTTTCGAAAACGAACCAAACATCAAGCAGCTATCGCCGCCCAACAACCCAGCCAATGTTGGTGCGACCAACTGATCGTACACTCCTGGAAATGATTGGGATACTAACAACATCTAACAACTGCCTGCTGCGATCCTGCACCCCCACAAGAACAGCTTGCTACATGTTCGTGGGAAACATGGCTTCGCATCACTCAACTCACACTCAGTGACACTCTCAGTCTAAGACGCATCCTTTTCACGCAATCCACAAATCACTGCGCCGGTCGACGCGTCACACATCAACTTCAGCCGCTTGAACAGCCGGTGCCGGGTAAAAGCGTCCGAAGCTTTGTCGGCTCAACCGCACCAGGCGCCGCGCTTCGTCGGCGGAAACGCCGTTGCCAACGGCCGAAAGGGCCTCAAGGCGACGGAAGAGGCCAGCAGGCAGCTGGGAGGAGAAGCCGGCCTGACGAAGTGGAGCTGGAGCTGAGGAGCTTAGGGCCTAAAGAGTTAATAGGTCTACAAGTATCATCGATCACCTTAGATGCAAAAAAAAATGGAGGCTGTAGCTTTCACAGAACAAACCCAATCATCCTAAAACTGCCTTTTGGCTTCAGTTGCTCTGTTCGGGGAGTTAGCAAACCGCAACACAGAAATCATCTGAAATCAATTTAAGATTATTGTTTAAGACCATGTAGCGGTTGCAAAGGTGGCAAAGGTTTCCTGATGTTTCTGGTGACGCGCCATCCAAACATGGCGTGGCCTGGCTGCCAAAGCTGCCACAGGCGGCTTCCAGCAAAGTGGACCACTGCAAGTCCAGGGAAGCACTGCTCCAAGCATCAAAGTGGCTTTGCAACTGGGTTCTGGCCTCCTCCTCTGCGATAAAGACGCACGTATTTTCCCTTCGTGCGATGGTTTTGAAGTTCCAGCCCAGTGAGCAGGAATGATGCAGAAGAATGAAGATGGCGAATAGCTTCCCCCCAAATGGTCATGGGTTTGTGGAGCAACAGTTCCTTTTGGGGGGGGCACAAGCATGAGCAAAATAAAAATTGGAGAAGTTTGTTGACTGCTTGCACACCACAACCCTACCAAGTGCAAGTAATACGTTATTACAGTATACAATCCACATCAATCAACATCAATGAATTTAAGATGTTTCATTTTTTGTGATGCTTAGCAATGCCATGGCGAAGCACACGTGTTCATGCATGGAAGTTTTGCACCCGTGGTACCGGCACCGAAGCGAACCTCGCACGCACCGTTCTGCTTGGCAAGACGGGGCAGCAAGACATCGCAAGACATCCCATGAGTGGAGACATCGGAAAAAAGAAAACATCGGAGATATATATACTAATCATACTCCTTTCCAGGCATTTCGACCTGAATGGGATCTTTTCAGGATTTGAGTGACCTGAAACCAAGGAACTTCTGAATGCGATCTCAGCCACTGGGAGATGACCGTGTTTGTTTACTGGGAAGGTCCGTCTGACTCGTGGGTGCGGTGCGGAAGACCGTCGAACTTGGCAGAATTCATGGAACTTCGGTGAGACGTGACATGAAACGCACAGAATTTCAGATGCGATGCACGCTAAAAAAAGGGGTGTAGAGAAAAACAAAGGGATAACATGGGATAACCCCCCAATAAAAACCCTCCAGAATAACAATAATTAACCAAAAAACCACTGAGACAAGAAGCAGTTGTTATGAACATACAGTGCCTTCTTCAGCTTTCTTCCTTGCCCCGCTTTCGGAAATTTTGAGCTTGACCTGCGTCCCAGCTATTAGTAGCTTCCTATAAGTCCTGTATATAGGTCTACCTATTCTATCATGATCTACCATGATCTACCTACCTCCTCACACACCCCCACACCTCACACCTAGGCGTCCCCGGGCTCCGGCAGTTGCACCACGTGGTACCGCAGCCAGGCCAACGAGCACAGCACCGCCGCACTGGACCCGGCCGCGCCGTGGCCGTCGCCGCGGAGGGCGTCGGCGATGGCCACAGCGTGGAGGAGATGAGGCAGGGCCTCGCACGGGGGGGTCCACGGTTAGACGTTCGGTTAGAAGACAAGACCAGGGCTCCTAACAAACATGGTCAAAATTCAAAACCAACCATGGGAAAATCTGTTCAGTCTATGTCGTTCTACAAAATTTGTTCTATAAACCCTCAGTGGGCTCCTGTTGTATAAACCTAAAGGGGGCACTTTAAAGTTGCTCCAAGTTCAGGGTTCCTCATTCTCCCTGCGATGGTGTCACATTGAAGCATGATGTCCCGTGATGGTGTCGCACTGGGCGGGTCCAACGACTCATGTGCATGGGACGAGCCATCATGCTTGGTGCGAGCATGCATGCTTTCCATTCCCATGGAGCTCGTGCCGCCCATGCTTGTGTTCGTTGTGAGGTCCTCCGATTGCCTTGGAATACCATGGAGGCGCCGAGTCGGTGAAGCCGTTGCAGCTCGGCGAACCAGCTCGGGTGTTTGAAATACCAAGTGTGGCGGGATTTGGTGGCTGCAAGTCAGCACTGCTCGCACCACAACTTGATCCTCTGAGAAATAGGTCGAGTTGAACTCCAGGATTTGGGGGGTAGAACCTAAACAATAAATCCGCTGCAACAAACCTGGGTCAGTGAGAAAGCCCCCCCAACATCAACGATGTTACATGCCAGAAATCGCAATCCTTCAACAGGAGTAGCACGAAGAAGCCATGAACATGGATTGATGTTAGTTTTTTCCGCGTGGATCTGTGTACAACTCGCTCTATTGCTGGTGCAGTCGGCGCTACAAACTAAACATGTTCCACGCCGTCGCTCGCGATGGCTCTATGGCGACATGCTAGTCCACTATCTATATCCCTGTCGGCTCGACGTCGGGTGTTTGGTTGCCTGTTTTTTTTCTGACCATGTGCTGCTCTGCTGTACGTTATGCAACAAGTTCTGAATGTGTAGAAACTCTATCCACTGGATCCACCCTGCCTCAGACTTCTCGTCTCCAAGAGCCGTGGCACCGGCCGCGTCGCTCGAGCTGCTCTCGGCGGAGCTGCTCGAGCGGCTGCCCGAGCTGCGCTCGTAGGCCAAAAGGCAGGCGTCCAAGAGCTGCAGGTGCACCTGTCATCGACGTGCACACGACTCGGTTGGAGTTGGGGAACAGAAGAATGAGCCAGTGGGCGACTTGGTGCTGTGAAGCTGAAGTTGAAGAAGCACTGAAAAGAACAAAATTAATCAAAAAGGAATTGTTGGTGTCCAGGAGTTTAGCATCCATGATCCGAGTGTACTTCTCTGAGAACTTCAATGGCCTCAACCTCCCCTGCAATATAGAACACAGTATAACCTAGGCAAGAAGGACCAGGAAGAAAAGGCCAAACCACGAAGAAAAGAAACCCATATTGGCTGTAACAAAGCTATTGACGGTCCAGAACCCGTGCCCACACCGTGTCCACCCCACCTTGGGCTCCAATCGGACTCCCATCTTCACAGCGTCCTGGTGCAAAAGGAGAGCTGCAGGCAGGCCGTCCTGCCACGACACGTGGCGCCTGACCCGAACGCAAGCGGATTCACGAGGCTTTCCGTCATGAGCCAAGCATTTCCTTCGACCGAAGTAGCTGAAACCATGCATCTCGAGATGCATTGAGAAGAAAAGAAGACCCTTCACCCCAAATTTCACCATGCAGCTGAAACAGTCACCTTCTCAGAAGGCTGTGGGCTATTGTGGGCTCTCCTCTTCAAAGAGCATGGCTTGAATCGCCAGAGAATACAACGGCGCGCCCAAGCGCCATCGCCAATCTTCGCGCAGCATCTTCGCTAAATCCCGCACCGCCGTGCTGTTGCGATCGTCCACAAACTTGGACATCACCGCATAGACGACCGCCGCGTCCTGAGATGCTTAGCTTTTTTGACGGGGACCCCAACTCAGACCCCTGTTGGAATGTCATCGAACAACACTCCACCAGGACCTTCAAAGTGACCTTTTGAGATGCCAGAATGAGGTCACTTAGTCCCTGAAGAGGTCACTTACAGACTCCCAAGAGGTCACTTGAAGGTCCTGGCAAAGGACCATTTTCATGGTTACCTGGATGAAAACGAACGGCCCCCGAGAGGATGACTTTCTGAAATCCTCGCCATCCACACAGGTGGTGCCATCCACGTAACCATGATGATTTAAAGGAGTAATAGATATAACTTATAGTTAATATGTGTGTTTATATGTTTAATAAAGTTTAATATATAACTATAGTTTAATATACCTATACCACTTCCTTTCTGGGTGCCCTGTCGACCTTTTAGTACCTAGTGGGCTGCCTTGTCCGGTGACCCGAAGCCAACGACTCGGGCGTCGGTGGGGTCCGAAGCCTTGGAAGCTCTTCCCAGCCTTTCAACCACCTTTTGAGCAAGCAGTTCGTCTGTTCCAACTAGAGCAAACCCTGCTCCAAGTCCAGTTCTGAGTTCAAACCCTGCCTCTTTTGCCAAGTCTCCGGAGGATGTTGCAACCAGGCGCCATAGAGCTTCACCAGCTCCAAGGCTTCCGACTCCTGTGGAGCGTCTGCGACGGTCGGGAGTGAAAGGTGTCAGAGGCTGATTGGGGACACTCTTTATGTGATTGTGCCAGGAGGGTCCCGGTCGTACCGAACCGTTTTGAAGGTGGCAGTGGGATTTCGGCTAGGCCGCTACTAGGCCCTATAGGGATCCTAGGGTCTATGAGGGTCTGAATGTTCTGTCCATCCAATGGATGTGCGATTACCCATACTGACCTATTCCAATTTTCAAGTTCCTGAAAGCAAGTTCTCAACTCATGTGAGCACAAGCCCAGAAAAATCACGTCCAGTAAGCGGTAGGTCCTATATAGATAGTCCATGTTCAATACATGTTTCATGATGTTTTCACTTTCTCCGGTCTTTGCGATCAGCCACGGAGAGACCTCGGTCCGGGTCTGAGCTCCTGCTTTGCGCGCATAGTGGCGGCCAGGAAGCGCGTGCTCAGTTCACGGTGCTTCAGCTTTACACCGAAGTTGTAGAAGAGATTCCTGACCGGAATGGTCCCTAGGGATCCAGTCGTAGCTTCGAAACGAAGGTGAGGCATGGATACTATTGATTCAGGAATGTTGTACCTGCCTATTTTTGGCCTATCCGATGACCAGCAACAGTGGATGATGATGGTTATTAAAGGCCTTCTTCAATAAAACGTGAGAATTGTTTACTATTGTTTACTGACTGTTACACGTAAGTTCGGACAGACTCAAGACGAACCTATTGGCTGTATGATTCAACCAACGAATAGTACAGGCATGTATAGGCCAACTATGGAGGTGGCTCCTGGGCGGGAGCCACAGGGCGGCGACATACAGACACCTGACACCACGGGAGCAAGCCAACAAACTGTTGTTCGACCATGGTTTGTCAGGTCCCAGGTGGGTGATTCTGTTTCACGCTAGAAACTGGCTGTATAGTTCAACAGAGCCAGTACCACAGAAAATGAATCACTTTACAAAGAGGGCCTGGTTGCGATCAATTGCCTCCCATCCACTGTAGCCTTGGGACTGACTGGATCCCACTTAAACACCATAAGCCAGGAGGGGCCCTTTGTAGGGATGTAGAGGAAGTGCATTGCCTATAGTTACGCCACAACGTATATAAAAAAGGTAGCAGTCCCCAAAGAACAAATCAAAACTGAGTGACTTCTAAATCTCTTTGCCAGCACCACCCAAAGGGTGGTTTATAGACCCCCTGAAGATGTGTTTTCTATCTAATAATAGCCCTTTGGGTGGTGCTGGTGGGGACGTTTGTCTGTGGCACCTAGATCCACAGGGATGCAGGTTTCATAATGCCCATGGTCAAGGCGAGCATCATGGTTTGCAAGGCAATGCCTAGATCGAACCTCGGTCAGGCAAAGAGACAAAGAGCTGGAAAAAGACAATGTCGAGCGAATCAAAAGGAAACTGTTAACTGCTTAAGAGGACGTTAACTGTGCAGTTCTTGGCATTCAACATACACTTTTGCTTTCGTTCATTCGTATCTTGTGGGTTTCAAGAGCGAAGTCAAAGTCGGTCGTTGATTTGGGGTCCTCACCCCAAGACCCCAAGCCGCTTTGCGAAGGGTTTCAGTTTGGTTCGGGTCCAAGGATGCTTAGGGCAGGACACCTCACCCAATTCATTGGGTATAGTCACATTACCCTCTTTCATGATGGTTAGGCTGCAGGTCGACATCTCAAAAATAGTTTTTGGTTGGACCGACTCATGCAGGCAGCCAAGCAACTTAAATCAGGACGAACGTTGACCCCCACGCGTATCAACAGAGGTGAAATGTGGCCCCTCTCGCGAGTTGCGCGGAGGTTGTGCATTTTGGCCCCCGAATCCTGGAGAAACAAGTTGGAGGCCATTGCTATTATAGGATATTGCAGATTGGAGGCCATCACTAGTAGGTTGGAGGTCATTGCTAATTGCTATTGGGGTGGAGGCCATTGCTAGTAGGTTGGAGGTGGAGGCAATCACTAGGGTGGAGGCCATTGCTGCTAGGTTTTTCGGCCGTCTCAACCCCCGAAGCGTGCTCGTCGGACCAGTGCGCCGAGCCACTTGTTTCGCACCCCACGGAGGATCTCGAAGAGGTTCCACACGCCGATCTCCTTGTGGTTCACGACCTCGGAAGCCAGACAGGCTGGGACCGTTCGGGGAACCTCGATGGATTGTGGTTGGTTTAAAGGATCCCGTGGTGGAAATGATCTGATAAACATGGTCTAATCAGTGGTTGGTGGGTTTGGGATTCAGCTCATTGATTCTATTCTGGATTGGAAACACCAAACCCCCAGGTCACCGGAAGAGGCGTTGACCCCCACCACTTGAGACGTTTGCCACTACAAGAGCCCACTAATGAAATCACATACACTCTGACTCACTAACATGGAAGTGGAAAATAGCCTCTTGGAAGACTACTTTCCTTTACAAACAGTGGGTTTTCCACTTCCATGTTAGTGAGTTGGAGTGAAATAGAAACCAGCTCCAGAGTCACATAGGAGTCACATGTCGGGGTGGTGGGCAGCTCGTCCCATCCAGCTGTGGATGTGGATGTGGAGTAGCTGGGCACCTATCCTCGGCACCCTCCATGGAGTCCGCACCCCGAGCTCTGTGACTGCTGGATGAAACAAGCGGCGCCAGCGCTACTCTTAAGGAGTTGCATGGAGTATCACCCGGTCTCTTGGAGTCCTTTAAGAGGGAGCTTTGGGGGAGGAAATCAGTGGCAAAGACCTTCTCTCGGACCCGTTTTAAGGCCAGCTGAAATATGATAGCTATTGATAGCTACTCTTCACTCTGGCGTGGACTCCAGTTGATGGCTTCTCCAGGTCGTCAAACGAGGGCTTCTCCATGTCGTGCGGAGCTCGCTCGACCCCGGAGACCTGGAGACCTGGAGCTCGAGCTGGAGACCTGGAGCTCCAGTTCCTGTTCGGAAAACCACCCCCCAAAACAAACCGGCGAAGCAACATAGAACGAAAGCAAGCGAACGCCACAGATCAAGCGCTTCGGGTGCTTGCACCAAGCTTCGCCCACATGCCCGAATTGCAGCTTGAGCTCCTGGGGTCCCGTCCGACCGGCAGCGGCTGAGACGGTGCCGTTCGGGTCGCGGAGGCGAAGCCTCACCACGGTCCCCGGTGGAGACGGTGCGGTGCGGGACTTGGGAGTCAAAGCTGTAGACGTTTCAAAACACTTTGCAAATCCACTACGGCAGCTGCAGGAAGTCGCTCCTGATACAACTCTTGAGGCGTTGGACCTTGCTCCTTTCTCTTTGCCACAGCCAATCCACGCCAACCGCCGAGCGCTGTCAGGCCGTGGCAAGGCCGTGGCAAGGGGCAAAGAAGTCTTGCAGCCATGAGAGGCACTGGAGCAGTTTGGGGTCTGGACGTTTGCGCCTGAACAAGCGGTGTGCGACTTATAACTGTGAGTTAGCTGGAAGATAGAAACCTCGGAGGGAACCAATGCATTGGAAATAGATTCTACAGTGACTGAGTAGGACAGCGGCCCATCTATTCCCATGATAAGTTAAATATAGTCTTAAGAACTGTTCATCATCTACTCTGTCTGTCGGTTGATAAGTTGCAAGCCAAAATCCTCTCTTTCAATGGGCTGTGGCAAACCGACTTCACACTGCTACAACCGTGACAGGACTTAGCCCAATGGCTTCAAAAAACAGCTCACATCTAGCACTCTACACGCGGACTCCAAAATAACTACAGCTGTGCTTACCGGCAACGTGTCTTCCCACGCCATTTGTGCACTTCGATCCATGTTAGTAACTGTTATAGTATGTTTAGAGTCAACAACACTTTACACTTTTAAGTGCGTCAAAGTTCAGAGTCTGCGGCAATGTACTGACATGTTTGTTTGACGCAGTATTGGTTGAGCCGACATCACAACGCAGATCGTTTTCCAGGAGTCTCTTGTAGAGAAGCACGCGACATGCGTCGTCAACGCTGGCCCCTGAAATCAAAGCTCATAAAACAACATTGTTCAATCTTGTTCAGGGTGGCAGTGATGAAGAAATCACCCTGGAAGTGCAGTTTCCTTCTTTTCGGCATGGCCAACTGAGCGGCACAAGCCCTGGCGTCGCTGCGCGCCTTTTTGGAGTGCCGGCGATGTCGGAAGCGCCGGAGGCGTCGGATTGGACAGCGGGGTTTAGACTTGGAGTGGCCATGCCTGGTGACGGAGTTGGGCAGGAGGGGTTCCAAGTGATTCCAGGAAAATGATTCCAGGAACTACTGCATCACTCAAGGGCTGCGCCAGATATGATGCTAGCTGACAATTATAGTTGGCAATCCCACAGTGGCACAACTCCAAGTCGACATCTAACAGGTGCTGCCACAGCCTCCCAAAAAAACAAGACATCAAGTCCCCGCGAGCATGCAATGTTGGCTTCTTGGCTGGGTCTTTCTTCAGAATTCGTTTTGGACTCCTCACTTGTGCTCGGCGGAGATCCCTGTCCACCGGTTTTTGTTTCATGGGGTGTCTCAAATGCCACAGACTTTGACTCATGCCCTGATGTAGGGCTATTGGAACCTCATGTGCTTCTAGTGTACCACGCGAGACCTGGAACGACATTTGGTGGGTCAAAATTTGGGGACACGCTAGGGCCAAAGGGTTTTCCAGCATTTCAACGGCTGCCTCATTGGAGAAGAGCACCCTCCCAATCCTCCCACCTAACACTGGTCGTCATGGGAACCGCCCAAACAATCACAAACACCGTCAACATGACCATTTTCAGCTTCCGTCTCGAATAAAATCCAAACATAAATTAGACAGAAAAATACACTGAATTCCGCGCTACAGAAGGAATGATTACATACACGTGTTGTTTTTGTCAGCTTTGTTTGGGATTCCGACGGTATTCTTAGCTGCATGTTCTGTTTATGCCACAAAGATACAGGCACAAAGGCGACCTGACAAAATCCGATCTTCTCACACGCTCGCAGGGAGGGGGATATAGGTGGTATCGGTTCACACCACGGTATTGAGATGATTGGCATTTTTCTTCGTCCGCCAGGCAAGCAGAGCAGCGCAAACGCAGAAATGGTGCCAGTTGTTGATGTCAAGTGGCTGATCAGTACTTTGTTGGGGTCACAAATGCTGAGATCAACGAACAAATACTGTGTACACACAATTCACGAGGCTCTTTCGACCCGAGGTTTCCAAACACAATCCCCAGGATCGGAGGCCGAGCCTCATGTCGACCCGGACAAACATGGTGATGTCTTGCCGACTTCGACGAGACGCCTAATATGACAGGTGGAAGAAGAGGACATGGACTGCAAAGGGTTGTGAAGTGAAGCGTCCAGAAAGTCAAATGAACTCATGTCAAATCCGAAGAAACACCACCACATGTCAGGTGTCGAACGCACGGAGGAGAGGGGTGTCCCTGACCAAAACACACGAAATTGGGCCACTTCGTGGCATTTTCCAACTTTTGAGTCGCCAATCTTGGCAGTTTCTGCTCTGCAAGCTAAAGCACAGGGCAGATCTGGAGGTCGCAGATCTGTCGGTCTTTCAACACTTCAAATGACCCATATAACATGCCCTTTTCACGGTGCTAAGTAGTGCCGGAACGTGCGACAGTCTCAAGTTCACCATGTGAGTCAGACTGGTTTCATTAAAAAAAAGAGCCGCTAGATGTTGTTCCTTCACAAAAAAAACAGGTTTTCCAAAACCACACAAAGAGGCTTGAACCAGTTGACCCTGTGGCGTAAAAACAAATGGATGCTGAAAAAACAGTGAAAGGCGGCCAAGCACAATACCTGTACGTCACATCTTTAAGTGATGCACTGGCGACAAAGGAACCTCTTGAAAAATGGTTAGGGGAGAGCTTCCTTCTTCCATTCTGAACCAACCGTGGGGTTCTGAACCAACCGGGGGGAGGCCGACCCAAATCATATGTCGTTTAACCAATCCTCGTACCACAAAATATTACCCCAGCAATCCCGATTACAGTTTACACCAAGGGGTCAAGGCCAGCAATCAAGCAGGAACAAACATATTAACATCATATTGTGTCAGTATGTCAATAAAATATATATAGACCCCCCAAATAGATAGAAAAGTAGATCCTCACTAAAAATGTTTTGGATAGAAATGAGATCCTCACTAAAACATGTTTTGGAGACCGTTTCTATCTATTTTGGGGGCCACGATGCATGATCACACATTCATGGATCGCCATCAAACCCATGCCACTTTAAATGGGATGGCCACACCAGAAGACCCACGCAAACAAACAAGCAAAGCCAGCTCTGAAACACTGGCTCAACTTGCAATGATTGATTCCCCCATGCTAAAACTAGCAAGAGGTTGGGGAACTCCCTGTAGCTCCACAATTCCCCTCTCCCTGTTAGATGCATATACCCCCAATAAACCCCCTCATCGCCTGAATTGCGGCTCGCACCTGAGCCACAACCGATCCGACGGTTGGCCACGTATGTGGGAATTCCAACGGTTGGCCACGGTGAGCCACATCCGATAGCCTCTGTTTCACCGAACTCGTCCATCGACGATGATTTCTGACGGCCACCCCGCGGCCTGAAAAGGCACCTCCAAAGCTGCGCACCTCGTCTCACTCCTCGCGAGACCCGATGCTATCGACTACGAAACACTAAGCCCCCAGACGCTGTGCAGCTCAGATCGGACCTTTTAAATAACCAGTCACAAAGGGTTGGTGTTTAGTCCCCTTATGTGAGTGGATGTCCTGGGTGCAAAGCCTGAACAGCTTTGCAGAACGCTGGGCGTCTTGCGGTCGGTATCACATCACTTCGGTCAGACAGTGGATTCCCTGGTGTTTTCCCGGCTGGATTGATCTACCCCGGAAGCCAAAGTCCTTTGAGCCTGGCAACTTTGGCCTCTGGTCCAGGCTGACTGGTTCAAGGGTGTTTCTTCTACTATATAGATAAAATACATTTAAGATTTGGAAATACTTGAAAGATTGCATATATATATATATATTTTGAACAACTGATCTGATCTGCAAATAAATACATAAACTATCATAAATAAAGCATACAACTACAAAAGACAAGCATAGAGGGTCTACAACATTCTACAACTACCTCCTCTACAATGCTCTATAGAAGGCCCTCCTAGCACCCACCCCCAACACCCTCGAAAAGGAGGTACTTGGATCCCTATACCCTAGGCATCCAGATTCTCGGAAGGCAATTGGACCCTACAAGCTTGTTTCTGCAAGCTCCAATCATCCAGCTTGTGGCTCCGGGATAGGCACACTTATCTTATCATTATCATTATCATTCACACAAAATTGTTAGCTCCGACCCCCAGCTCCGTGAGGGGGTCATCTCTGCACACCGAGCCTGCATCATTCCGGGAGGTGAAAAATCTCTTTCTCTTCGGCCACCGCGGGCTGTGTTTCACAGCCCACGGCGGCTCGGGGCTCAGGACAAGCAGTCCCGAGCTCGCATCGTGGGGTGGCTTTTAGGGGGCGGGTGAAGGTTGGAAAACTCCGCAACAGGAGCTACGGAGTGACCGGAGTTCTCCCTGATATTCTTCCTCAAGCAACAAACATCTAACACGTAACGTTATAATTACATATACTTATCGTACTCGGAACGCTATCAAAAAGTGACAATGAGCTTTTGGACAAGTTTGTACTTATACTGATACTAGTAGACTATTACAAGCAAACACTCTTGGCCTAGCCGCAGATCAATCTAAAACTTCAACTACTGTAATATGTCAGACACGGAGTAAAGTAGTACATGTTCTGCACTAACACACCATGAAAAGATGCCATTTGGGCTATTCCAGCTGGTGTCGTTGAGGCCCCGACTGGAAGCCACAAGCCCACGACTGGAAGCCGCGAGGGGCGTTGGGAAAATGCCCGCCGTCCCCGAATTCCGCTGTCCGTTGGTGCGCGGAACCTCTCGGCCACTCACTGACTACCTGACGTGGCGCGAGATCTTTTGACACGCAAAGGCCATCTAAGACCCAATTAGATAAACTGGCGGAGAAGCCTTTGTGCCCCAAGGACATGGTGGATGGAGATCCTCCCCGTGAATTTCGTGAGGCGTTGTTCCTTTTTCTATCCCGATGAATCTGTGGTATGACTGTTGACTGTTTTCTCTTTCTATGGATCCCCAAAGCAAGATATATGGTTTTATATGGTTCGAGGAGGGTGAGAGGAGGCTTGATTGCTGAAAAGATTGACAATTATTGGTAAAGTGATGGTGAAATCAGGAGTCGAAAGGGGTTGGTTGAACTTATCAATCAATCAGAGGGGTGAATTGAAAATGAAGCTAAAAACATGCTTAAACACAGATTCCCAAGAAACAATGGACCGCAATAGAGGTAAAACAGGGTAAAACAAAGGTAGATCCAAGGATCAACAAACATGGTTCAAAAGTATTGCACCCAAACCAGCTCTTTCTAATTGATTGAATATCAGCCTCTTGTTGACATTTAGGGTACGCAAGCGATACAGCATGCCAAATTTGGTTTCGTGTTCTTTCGAAGGCTTCGCTGTTGTCAGAGCACCATCATTACTCCACGTAACAGCTAAGTGTATTTTTGTGGCCGTTCCTGTGCCGAAATGTTTGACTCATTTGTGGTATGCTGAGGTATGCTTCGGGGTATATGCTTCACGCGGTGCGAAGACTAGTCGCATCTTTAGAGAGTATGCTTCAGGGTATGCCTAAGTCGAACATCCAAACTCATCCAAACTCTACATTCTACATCAACTGGACACGTTCAACTACACGTATACGTGACACATCGTGACACCCATATTAGAGAGCGTGGAACAGGGTTTCAGAGCTTCAGACCTAGACATCCGAACCGAACCGAGTCGTCGTTCAGGCTTCCAGGACTTCCATGACCGAACCCGCACCATTCCCAGGTGATCCCTCCAGCACTTCTCCACCCGCCCGAAGCGTCACCGCGCGCGCGCGGAACGCAGCGCGGAACGCAGCGCGGAACGCAGCGCGCGTGGCTCTCCGCGTGATGTTTCGAGGCACCGGGCACGTCAGGAGCCCGAGGCCACGGTGATGTCTTCCGAGGCGCTTTGGAGGCCCAGCAAAAGCCGATCCATGCCTTGCTTTCGACCACGAACTAGACGAACAACGGACGCGTGAGACACCAACTGACTAAGGGGGCATTTTCCAGGGGCCATAGACAGTCCCTATCGGATGGACGGATCCACCCTCTGAGGTATGGTGATGTGTTCGACACTGTTGATGTAGGTTTGGAGTAAGGGATTGATTGAATGTGAAAGAAATGGAACTCATTCAATCGGCACACCTGCCCTGTCTTCGCCGAACCGCCACACCTGCACCGCTGTCTTCCACTGTTCTCACAAAACAGGTCCCCGCACGATGCTTCTGGCACGCCAACCAACTTAGGGGAGATCCCTCCGCGCTGCCACTACCTCCGCTCTGTGGGCGTGCGCCACGCGGCGGCAGTTCTACGGAAAACCATGGGCAACTGCCGGGCAAGGGCACACAGGTGACTACGCAGGTCCCTGGTGGAGGCAGCATGCATATCATTCTCAAGCCAGCGACATAGGAGTTGTGAAGCGATAGGCAAAAGAAAAAGCTACAAGCATGTCACTAGGGTTGAGCCTATAAATGGGCCCTCTGTCCTCAGCATAAACCAAAACAACAAATCAAAACGCGCACCACACATCGACCGAACCTCTCGGACGTCGCCCGCTGTCGCCTCAGCAGGAACCTCTAGCCGCGCTCCCCACCCCACGCCTGTGTCCACAGCAGAGGCAATGGCAGCCACCACACGCTCTGGGGCATGGGACCTTGGAACTAACAAACGCTCTGTCGCTGAAGGACTAGGCTGGGAACATCTCGTGTTTTTTTCCGGGAGCTCAACCCCCCGACCACATGAGAACATGGCAGCTTTTGACCCGAAACTATGTTTTTTCCCGAGCGAGAGCGAGTCAAAGACTTCTCTCGTGTGTGTGGGGTCTTGCGCCACCTGGGGCGGGCCGTATACGTGGTGGCTGGAGGGCTTCTACCAGAAGTGGGACTCTCCTCTGCAGGAACTGCTCCGGTCCGGGAGCGCCGAGCACCGGGTTTCTCGAATGCGTCACGAGTGGACCACACTGCGAATTCGATGAAAGTGTGGTCAAGGCAACCACACACGCCATCCAATGGCACCAAACCAAGTTGAGGAACTTGAATCACTCAATGTTGATCTTGGATGTTGCTTAAGGATCTGAGAACAATAAGAATACTCACTAACCAGGTGATAAGACACAAAACATCACCAAACACATCTTAGTACCCTCCTGCCAACCCTGGTAGTTCTCAGGAATGGAGCTTTACGACTGTTTGCTGCTCAAAACCCGCCGCATGTCACGCCGCGTCGTCGTTCTCGTTCAAGGCCCGAGGAGCGCCGGCCGCCGGGGGGCAGGTTTCACTGGTGGCCTTCAGAAGGGCAGGCAGGCAGTGGACGCCAAGTAAACATCTGCCTTCGAAAACCTTCAACATCAGAGAATAAGACCAAGACCCAAGAAAATCCTGGTTTTTGCATCAGATCCTTCATTTGGCATCTAGAGAATAAGACCAGTATTTAGGGGGCACGATCATCTGGCAGCCGCTATTTCATGTAACGGTGTGGCATCTTCTGTGCAACCTCCAGCTAGGACCAGGATATTGATATTTGTCTTTTAAATCACAATTCTCCGTTTTTCACCCAATTCCTGACTCGAAGGGTTTTTCCATCTACTATGCTAAATGCCTCATGCAAACCAGCCTCCAAACCTCCGAAATCCTCCGAACCCCGAAGCTCGTGAGCTCCCCATGCGCCTCGGCGGCGGTGTTGGCGTGAGACCTTCCGCCTGGTGGCCACGGTGACGCGAGACGCGTGGAGCCGAATGGGACAGTCCAGGGCCAAGTCTTGGTGGTTGAGACATCATCCACTGGTTGAGACATATATGCCACCCACTTACCGACCACAAACGCGGTTGCGACCATCTGTAAACGGAAGAACATCAGCAATCCGGGTCATCATTGGGGATGAAGTTGGAACAAACTAGATCTATCCCTGGGAACCACAGCACAGGACCGATCGAAATGGTTCGGTACGACTGGTGCCTCCCGGTCACCATTGACCCCTATAAGCTATGGCAGCAAATCTATGGGCATAAATCAGAGCACCCAAGCCCTCCAATCCTGTCCAATGTGCTACACATCATTTCTGTGTCCGACGTGTTTGACCTCTCAGGTGATGTCACCAGACGCTCCATGTATGCCATATATGCCTACATTGGGGTGGTGCCAGAGGGGTCAATGTATGCCATCTATGCCAGTCCGGAGTCCATGGAGTGTATGGGGTCACCATTTTCCGTTCGCTCCTGCCGTGTTTCGGTTCGCTCCTCCGGAGCTCCTCCGGACCGCTCCGTTTCCCCGTTTCCGCCGCCCGGCTCATCGGCTCCGCTCCGGGGCTCGGGACGCGCAGCTCGGTGGACCTGACGGTAAAGGATCGAGGGAAGGAGATCGACCCGACGGTGAGTGCCACATGGCCATGTGTTGGCGGATTGGTTCATGTTCTAATCGTTTTCTGATTCTGGGGAAGGGAATGATGTTTATTTGCCTTCTGATTCTGGGGAATGATGTGGGTTTTTTGTATCTTTTCCAGGTTGGACAGCAAGTTTTTAGAGATGGAGGATCGGTGGACTCTTGTAGAGTTCTTTTGGACCCCCAAGGAGTGGGGCTATTCATGGACACCCTTGGAAACGTGGTGCTGGTACAGGGTCTTGTTTGGTTGGGGGAGAGAGGTTGTATCCAGGTTGTACCCTGCAGGGGTTTAAATGGTTTTAATATGTTTTAGTTGTTTGTGTTCCTGTTCTGAGGGAAAAGTCATCAGTCAGTGCAATTGGCTGCGAAGGAATGCTTCGCGCCAAGAGGACTTCTCAAAACTAGTCAACTCATGAGTTTTTCAACACAGCTGCCGAGTCGAATCACAGCTGTCTCCTCAACAGCTCAGCTAGCTCATGGTGCCCAGCTGCCAAACGTAGAGCTGTGGCACCATTGTCTGCCCTAGCATTCAATTCAGCGCCAGCTTCCAGCAAAGCTCGCACCACTTCCAAGTGGCCATGATGAGCTGCCAAAAGCAAAGCAGTTGCGCCATCTTTCCGCCTTGTAGCCTCAATGTCACTGCCAGCCTCCAGCAAACTTCTGACCACTTCCAAGTGGCCTTTCAGAGATGCCGCAAGCAAAGCCGTGCCGCCATCTACTGCCTTAGCATTCACTTCAGCGCCAGTTTCCAGCAAAGTTCGCACCACTTGCAAGTGGCCGTGGAAAGCCGCGAAAAGCAAAGCTGTGCTGCCATCTGATGCCTTAGCATTCACTTCAGCGCCAGCTTCCAGCAAAGCTTGCACCACTGCCAAGTGGCCATTCACGGCTGACAAGAGCAAAGCTGTGGCACCATTGTTTGCCTTAGCATTCAATTCAGCGCCAGCTTCCAGCAAGGCTTGCACCACTTTCAAGCGGCCATGCTGAGCTGCCAAAAGTAAAGCAGTTGCGCCATCTTGCCGCCTTGCAGTGTCAATGTCACTGCCAGCCTCAATCAAACTTCTGACCACTTCCAAGTTGCCATGCAAAGATGCTGCAATCAAAGCCGTGTCGCCATCTATTTTAGCATTCACTTCAGCGCCAACTTCAAGTAAAGCTCGCGCCACTTCCAAGTGGCCATTCTGAGCTGCGAAAAGCAAAGCATGTGCGCCATCTTGTGCCTGAGCAGCCCCAGCTTCCAGCAAAGCTTGCACCACTTCCAAGCGGCCGTGGAAAGCTGCGAAAAGCAAAGCTGTGCTGCCATCTGATGCCTTAGCATGCACTTCAGCGCCAGCTTCCAGCAAAGCTCGCACCACTGCCAAGTGACCCTGCACAGCTGACAAGAGCAAAGCTGTGGCACCATTGTCTGCCTTAGCATTCAATTCAGCGCCAGCTTCCAGCAAAGCTCGCACCACTTCCAAGTGGCCATGGTGAGCTGCCAAAAGAAAAGCAGTTGCGCCATCTTGCCGCCTTGTAGCCTCAATGTCACTGCCAGCCTCCAGCAAACCTCTCACCACTTCCAAGTGGCCATTGCAAGCTGCTGAATGCAAAGCCGTTCCTCCCTGCGCGTCTCGTACATTTGGATCTTGTGGGCTATGAAGCATCTGCACAACTTCAACCCAACGATTGTTCGCGCATGCCGAAATAAAGGCTTCGTTGGTGGCGGCATCTGAAGACTGCAAGTCCAACACCAACAACTGTAAATGTTGCACGCCGTTCCATGGGGCTAAAGAATCATTCTCACGCAATTCACTGAGTTCCCGGTTCAAAAGTCTCAGCTGAAACCTTGACACAGCAATCTGAACTGCGAGGAACTCTTTCAGGGCTTTCACCGGTTTATCACTCTGCAGGATAAGACCCAGTTCTTGCTCTCCAAGTTGAGCCACCTGTGTGCCAGACATAGCCACTACCTGCAGCATCATGCCCTGCACCAGCTTTGCGGTGGACTGGATCAAAGAGCAGCTTGAGCCAAAACATGAGGCGAGATCGTTGTGCTTTGCTTGTTTCGCCCAAGGCATATCCCATTGTGGGTTGAGTGACTTGTTTCTGTGGCAATATGTTCACATACTGAGATACAGACTTCTGTCCAAGCAACCCCAGGTCAACTTGTAAAGACAAAAGGTTCTCCAACTTGAACATCAGGAGGTCTCCAGACCCCACCAACCAACAGGAGGTCTCCAGTCCTCCGTTTTCCCGGCGGAACAAAAAACCGGCGGTTTCAGAACTCGAACCCTCTGCTCTGCTCTGTAGCTCTCGGCCTCAGTGCTCTGGAGGCTTGTGACAAGATCTGCAGCAGCTCCTGGCAGATGCATGACGTGCTCGAGCGAGCGAACGGAGCGCGGGGCGGAAAGAGCGTGAACTCTGTCCGCACCAAAAGAGCGGTGAAGTCGTTGTCCTCCTACTAGCACCCGACTCTACTGACATCCGGGAGACCCCGACATGTTGTCAAGACAAAGGGCTGGTGGTGACCGTGCCGCTGGTGGCGCTGGTGGTGCTAGCAATCAATCGGCGGCTGGATTCAGTCACAGCATCCAAAGTTCGAACCCACCAACTTGGGATGCCCCAAACCATCCGGAGTTTTTGGGGTTCCAAAGCAAACGTACATGGATTCACTCCAACCAAAGCTCGGATGTTAGGGGTGAGTAGGACCAGGCTAGTCCGTAGGGCCTAGAAGGGCCTAGGGCCTTCACTTCACCTTCTTCCCCTGTTCTGACCGGACCCCAAGGGTCGCCTCCTGCGAGGCCTCGTTTCGTATCAACCGATCTCGGAAGCTGGCGTTTTCGCCACCACGGAACGCCGGCAGGTAGAGAGAGATGCTCAGATTCTTGCAACATGCTCGTTCTTGAGTATATGGGGTTTGAGCAAACATAGGGGCATCACCAAACTCTACAACCACCAAGAAACCCTACCTCCTTGGTTGATCGCACTGAAGTTTTTCTTGCACCGCCTTGGGGCAGCTTCCAGGATGAAGTTCCGCAAACATGTCAATTAGAACAACCCAGCTAGAACCCTGGTCCGGCGTAGTGTTTGGACCCTGGTCCGGGGGTGGTTAAGGTCTCCTATGGTATCCTGCAAACATGCCGATTTCGGCTCCCTTTCTCGCTGGAACCCAACCTTTCCTCACATGGTACTGACTCCCTCTGCAATATATTTTTTATTCAGTGGGGAAGCCAATCCCCCGACAAATGGTTTGCAGGTGATCCACTGACTTTGTAGTTGGTATCGGCTGACTCATTGACATCCATGGTCGACAGGAATGACAGCGATTTCCGCGACAGCTGCGGTGCCTTTTGTGCTGCACTTTGGACGGAGGGCGACGGATGTCTCAACTGGGGGCCCAAAAGAAAGGCCAACGACAGGTGGATGAAGAAAATTGAAGAACACTTCACCCAAATATGGTGCTTGATGTGCTTTTATCTTAGATTGAAGCAGGCTCGATATGGGTTAAAGCATGAGTTGGAGAAGCTACCAATCTCTGTGATCCATTTGAGGCCTGTTGAGACAAACCCATTTTGAGACAGCCCCAGTTGCCATAATCTGCACACTGATTCCTTGCGCACTGGCAGCCAGTGGTATTGTGCTTCCTTATGGCCCAGGGTGAAGCTTGAACCCTATCAGGATACTCCAAACAATCTGGGCACCCCGATCCTCCTTTAGGTACCCCAACAGGAACCCTGCGGGGCTGAGCAGCAAAATCTCGAGCTCGCCAGTGAAATCGCCCAACTCTTGAAATCTCCAGCTGCTTGACGCGGAGGCTTGGGAAATAACTTCCTACTATGTACACAGGTCTGTTGACCATGGAGTCAGGAATTTCGAAGTCAGCAAGGATTACATACTCGATGCTGATGTCAAACAACTAATTTTGCAGTTCGTTTATACCAGGACCCTCCGACAGGTCACCAATTGAGACCTGTTAGGGTCCAACAACCCTCAACTAACAGCCTGGCCAGGAGGGTGCTGGTAGTTGATTGATTGATGTTGATGGTGTTTTTGTGCAGTTAGATTCTGCTGACTTCGATCCCTAAGAGCTCTGTGATCGCTACAGATTCTGACCCACCCCGACCCAGCACCCAACTCCACTCGCCTAATCAGCTTACGCAGTCGAACAAGAAGGTTTACCTCTTGTCAGCATGTCAGTTTTGACCAAAAAAAACATGTTTGTTGTCAGGACGTGAGTGAATTGACTCAAACCAGACAAACTGGAACACTCGAACTTCAAGCTTTTCCAAGCAAAAAAACGTGAGTGTCGAATCGTCGAACCAATTCCCTCCTCCATTTCGCTGCAAAGACCGACAGTAGCAGGGCCCATTCCCTCCGAAAGCTTCTCCAGTTCTGGTCATGGAAGAGAGTACATACACTCCCTGAAATCATCATCGGGCCCGTGGATTGGGATGGCATGGCCCCAAAAGGATGTCACCCTGTTCATCCGAGCTCCGCGAGCGAGGTCCAGGTGGTGTTCACTCACTCACTCCGCGGAAGGGCCGGACTGATCGAGTTCAGAGAGATTCAACGTTCCCTTTGTTGCTCGATGAAACTGGATGTTTGTCCATGTGCATTGAGATCTCCATGGTCCATCATGCAACACTGACAAAAGAATCGAAACCAACACGCAGCTGGATGCGATTGAGAGAAGGCACAACATATCTACCCGACTCCTGGCGAGTGGATGTCAGACTTGGCTGCTGTTCGGCTGTCCAAGTGCCAAGCTCTAGCTGTTCACAGGAGCTCTGGATCACAAAAGCCCTCATCCTTGTCACTAGGAGCTTCGCCTGCTGTGTAGCGATGTCTCGACATGTGCAGAGGAAAACAGGCGCTGTCTTGGTTGAGCAAGCATGCAGAACAATCGTGAAGTGTTTGATATACAATTTGGCATTGAAGTCTTGAAGTGATTGATATTTGATGTAACTAATATATACTGTAGAAGTTGACCAAGTGGACATCAAAGAGCAAATCCTTCACCAAGCAATGCCAAGAAGTGTCATTGGGGACCATCTGAGCTTCTCCTGGGGACTCCTGGGATAGCGATTCCTGCCGCCAGTTCGGAAGAGTGGTGTCCAGGGGTTCCACAGGGGTTCCAGGAGTTCGGGTGCCCCGTTGCAACATCTCCACTCAATGGGACTAAAAGCCACTCCTTTGCAACTGCTGGCTGGTATTTCTCCCCAAATCCACAACCGTTCTTTCTTTCGCATCGGGATTTGACAGCTGTATTTGACACAGCTCATGATTGAGACCCAACAGTAGTAGGAGTAGTAGTAGTAGTAGTAGTGGTTGTTGTTGTTGTTGTTGTTGTTGTTGCGCCATTCTTAAAGACCTGTGTCTAGGGCCTCCAACTCATTGGATCAAAACTGCCACTTCAGCCGAAGAGGATGAAATCCGACTTCGTCTTTCAAGAGAGGTTGAGAGACCTGAAGTAGGACCCTGTAATGGTATACACGGGATTGGCTATAAGCCCATACCATGCTGTGGTGGTATACTTTGCTGTTCAACCTGTCTTGATGGTCTGTCACTGACGGACCACGGGCAACCTGACCCCCCAAGCGGCCCGAGCGTCTTCCGGGAAAAAGATCTGCCGACCCAGGACCCATACATTGTAGTAACTTCATGTTGCTTCATGCGACTTCGATTCACTTGAGATCTTGACCTGGAAACAACATGAAACACGTCTGTCTACTGTAAGCACACGAGGTACTTAATGGAAAGCAACATGGAATCAAGGCTCTGCTAAACCAACATGCAGCATGCAATTCATCGTCCCCGAGTCCAGGCCTGTAGGTTTCAACTCCTGCTTGGCACAAAAACAACCGGCGGAAGTCGGCGGAAGTGCAGGACTTTGATCCTCACCCGAAAACCAGAACTAAAGAACCACTCCATGGATAAACGAAAGGAATCTAGTGAGGCAAAGGAAATGCTTGGCAAAGGAAATGCTTAAAGGAAGCACGCACGGAAATTGAAGCGGAACCCTCCAACAAAAGGCAAATTCTACTTCACCGCATCACCACAGATTTTGTTCTTTTTGAGAACATCTGACCCCTCGCTGCGCCAGGTACAGTAGATTGCTGGCATGTCAACAACACCTGCCAAAAAAAAACACATCTTCATCAGATTGGCCTGCAACCCCAAAAATGTGGCCCCAACTTGGCCGAATCGCTTTCGTGCGATGCGTTTTTCGGGGTTCAGCAACTCACTGACCGGCACAAGTACGGCGAAAGTGGAATGAGGGAGGCTGGATCCTAAGGGATGTATGTGGAAGGGGCATTGCCTTATTCATCCTTGTTGCCTACTAAGCACCAGTCAGTTTCGTGGGCTGAAACCAAAAACTGCCGTGGGCTTCATGTACCTCGCTGTCACAAACGAATGACGCGACGCGGCCTGAAGATCTTGGGATGCCAAAAGGGTAAGCCGATACAACTAATAGACTTTAAACCACTCATGTAGACTCTGTATTGCAACACCTCGATCTCTATATGTCTTTTAATCAAGAGTCTACAATTATAGGTCCCTTAGTCATTCCGAAGCTGACCCATCACAAATTCACCATGGTCTGCCCCCTTTCGCTTAACATCAGCCTGCAAACTTGTGATTTCCATGCAACTGTGCCAGAAACAAAAAGAACGCGCAATAAAAACACCATGTCACAGGACCTCCGTCACCGGAACGCGGAACGCGGGGCCCACCTCCTGGGGGCCCTGCACAAGCTCAGCGTCCCCTGAAACGCGGAGAGAGCAGGAAAGGCGAAGGGTGACACCAAGCGTCAACGTGGGTGACACAACGTTCGGGACCCGAACACCAGCCAACATCACCAAAGCACGTTGGTTCCAGAAAAAAACAGAACACATACTCAGAAGATCCGAGTCTTCTTGAGCAAAGCCGGGTTTTCTAGGATATATTGAAGGTCTATCAAATGCCCAAAGCTTCACCCAAACCCTATAAAATTGTGGAGTATCAATGGAAAGTCCTCGGGTGCGTACAAGTAGCTTGTGAAACCCAGTTATACCGTCTGGTACCGAGACGGTGGTCATCGACGCTCTCAGGGTGCCCAGGGGTTCTCTCATTGAATGTGTCATCTCACGTCGATTGGGGACGGCCCCACGGCATATGAGAGTGAACAAAGCAAGCAAAGCACAAGGTGTTGTTGATGTGGAGGTATTCGACATGACCGATTTAGGAGCTTTCACAAACTGCTGTTACTGGTCATGATTCAAGGTTACAAACTAGCTAGAGATTTGTGGATCACTGTGCAAGATTCAACAGCCAAAGGTAACTGAGGACCCGACAAACTACTCCACAACAAACCTCCTC